GGCATCTTCCAAATAATACAATGTTTGAACATGATTCAAAAAGTAGGTCTAGAGCAGGGATGGTCAACAGTTTTTGCTCCCAGGCCGAATTGGAAAGAAAACTTTTTTCACGGGCTGAACCAGAGGCTGCCCTAGGAAGATTTTGAGGTGGTGCAAGATCTCATTGTAGTGTCACCCCGTAGAGACTAAATTGTACACAGAGATTACAGATACATTTTTCACATTATTATGCTTTACCAACATTCTACGCTGTACTTACGAGATTTGTAATGGAGGGTTAACTCTAAACGCACAGTGAATTGTTGACTTTTTTTTTTTTTAGGTGTCAGAATTTTTCATCAAGCTATTCGGACTTGAATAGCTAATATTGAAAGATTAATCGCGGGCTGCATAAATTCATTAGATGGGCCGTATGTTGGCCATGCCTGGTCTAGAGGGTTCATCTTGTTACATACAGACTGTTATTGCTTCAATTTAATGAGTATCATAATAAATTTATTTTTATAAAATTATTATTTGAAAAACATTCAAAGAATAAAAACAAAAGGATAAAACAAATTTCCAGAAGGACAGTTGTCTTCTCTTGTCCTTCCTGTGGGTGCATTTACTGAATACTGTTAATTGTATTTTATATTATTTTTCAGAAAGTAATGTCAATTGAATAATTAAATTATTATTGAAATGTTCTTTTATTGTATATTTTAAATTTCTACTTTTAGCATGTTTTATTTTATATTGAAGTACATTTTTATTATCTGAATTCAAATTTATGTACTCCAAAACTGTTTAGACATCTTTTAGTCATTATTAACTCACTGAAAAATACAGTTAACATAACATACTATTTTAATTTACTTATTGAAAATTTACTGCTCTGTAAACCATGTTGATGTAAGTTAATAGTTCTGTGATCAAATTTTCTTGTTAAAATTTGCACACTTGGATAAAATAAACTCTATAACCATCATTAGTATTTTTTCCATGTTTCTGTGATGCAGTATTAGAAACTCTTCACAGAAACATGAAAAAAACACTAATGATGATTATGTTTTTTACTTACATATATAAACATCCACTAACCTGATTTTTAATTATAGCCAAATGATCTACCACCTTATTAGGCTATTTTAAGGCTAATGTTAATAACTAAACAAATAATAATTTGATTAGAGGATTTGGCTGCCATCTCTTGATAAATTTAATAATGAGAACTTTGTCCNCTGAAACAGGACTCAAACCCACAACTTCTGCAAACTGTGCAGATGCATTGCCAGTTATGATATCTGGACCTCCATTCAATCTGCACCTCCTGAATTATTGATAATTTAGCACTTTGAGTGACCAAACTGGTCACCCAAAGTGCTGATTGGGGATGACTGGAGGATCATGGATGCTAAAGTTGTCCCGAGTTGACACTATGAGTGATCAGTATGTTTATACCTAAATTATTAATAATTCTAGAGGTGAAGATTGGATGGAGGTCCAGATATCATAACTGGCAATGCATCTGCACAGTTTGCAGAAGTTGTGGGTTTGAGTCCTGTTTCAGGCTGATTCTTTTCCCCTAGAACTTTCCAAATTAAAATTAATTTATTTATAATTATAAAATTTATTGAGATATGGAAGCCTAATCCTCCAATCAAATTACTGTTTGTTTAGTTATTAAAATTAGCACGATAATCTGATAGATCAATTTGCTTTAAGAACAAAATATATTTGCATTTTTCTCCCAAAATAGAGTATGACACTAAATATAATAAATAGGATATTATGATTTTTTTTTTAAATTTGTCTAATCAAATTGCTTTCTTCTATCAATAATTAGAAAGTCATTTATCATCATCTATTTAATACAAAAACATAAAGTAGTATTTAAAATTGCATTGTAAAATGGAGTTAGAGACTTAAAAATAAAATGAATGAATTATTCTTTGTTATTTATCATGTAGATTTTGCAATATTTCAGAAGTTGTCCTAAAGAGTATTTAGTATTTTTATTTTGCTGTTAATTGCCATTTATATTAGTTATAGTAATTAATATATGTTACCTTACCAGATATGTTTTGTTAAACAATGATCATGACAAACTTATTGAAAATACTTCTGAAAGCAGTAGTGCTTATTAGTTATATCTGCATACCAAATAGACAATATTTTATATAATAAATGTAAAGCAAGGATAGAGCATTATGTTTTAGATCTGTAATTTCATTAGATTGTGATTTTTTAAATAATACTGTTTGTTACTATAGTAAATAGATGATAAGAATATCTAATGAAAATAAAGTAGTTTTAAGTTTTATAATTTTATTGTTAATTTCAAAATAACTTACATTAAAATATTATATAGATGTAATTTGATTGTTAATATATACAATAATGGCCATAGAAATTACATTATTTATGGTATAGCAAATACCACATGCTATACCAAAAAGCATTCTACAGATGTGCATAGTATATTTAAGTTATAATCACAATATTTACAAATTGTTAATCTATAATTTGTTGACAATGCATTCTATGTACTATTTCACGAGAGAGTAAACCTTCATTATTCAAAGCAACAATTATGGACTTTTTATGCATTGTTAACTGTTGAAAACATTACATTTGCTTAGTGCACCATCTTTGCATGGGCTTTTATACCAATAGATGATATAATTACCAGAAGCATTACCAAGAAAACATTCTAGAATGCTGTTTTCACATTGATGCATGAACAGTGAAAAAATATTTGCAATAGAGTTGTTTTGTTGCTTACTTTTAAGTTTATTGTTATAATTTTAGAAAATATGAATGTCTGAATTTGTTGATAGATCATTAGTTGATAAAATTTCTATCATTTTTAAATATCATTTAAAACAATTTAAATATGACAAAAACATACATTGGCTGAAATCTCATTAATCATTATATAGGGTCCTCCAAAATGAATGGTACCATTTTAAATGACTGTAATTATGCTGTTTATTATTTGAGAAGTATCAATGTATACCAATTGATAGAGTAAGTGTCCAAGTTTCATCTCCTATCTTCATTAAAGCATCTTGTTGTCTACTACCTTTAGGAAGTGCTGTAAATGAAAATTGCAATCTGCAACAGAGAAGGTATTTTGTGTTCTGCAGTTTGCAAAGTTGTAATTGTGCACCATTATGCAGTAGGAGTATTCTGCAGGAGCTGTAGAGTTGTTGCTCCTGTGGGAGGAAAGACAATGAATATTCTGTAGTGAGTGTAAGAAGAATTTGAGTAGCAGTTGGATATGTGCTGTGTGACACAAGGTGCACACATCGAAAACTTTAATAGGCAAATGTGAAACTTTGACAGTTTTCCAATGTTTTAATATACATTACAACATTTTCAGATAATAATTAATATAATTACAGCAATTTAAAATGGTAGTATTTTTTTTTTTTTTTTNTGTTTTCCAAGGTCATACCATGTCAGAGAAATGTAGGTGAGCTTGAACAGGTGAATGAATGAATTTTAATTACAGTCATTTTGTTGCAGTTCTTTATCAAGTGAATTCCAATTAGAACAGTGTCATGGATGTGTATGCTGCTGTTTTATATTTAAGTGGATCCATAAACAATGCAGAAGAGAAATACAGAGAATACAGAGATTCAGCAGAGAAATACAGCAATCTTACTTCATCACCTAATACTTACTGAAAAAAATTGTTTATTAAATAAATGTTTTCAACCTATTATCATAGGCCATCTTCAGGTTTTTCAATAATAAATTGTTACAAAAATGAAATATTCAGTTATCGGAATTTACATTGAAAATTTCAAACTATAAATTTAAACTTGAACAAATAAATGTATAATGAACAAAATACAACTATCAAAAATAAAACTAAATAAAAAATATTAGATAAAACTTCTAAGGAAATATAACATAAAAATTAAAGTAAAATCAAAATTGATTGCAGGGTCATTATGACTTAAGGGTTTTATGCCCTAATTTATTTTCTATTATGTATTTTAATGCTGAGGGCAATGTATTTGCATCGCTGGCTTGGTACCTATATACCAACTTTTGACATTTTCTTTATTCTTAGTAACTAAAATTTTATATGCCTCTTCTTCTGAAGGTGGTTGTGCATCGGCAATATAAACTTTTTAAGGTAAGGAATTTTAAGCCAAGTCCCCAAACTTTTGGATCATACTATGTATAGGGCTTGTGAGAAAAATGTAAGCATAAACTACAAGGATAGTAACACCCTATCTCAAACCTGGATATCACTTTTTGAGGTCAAGTAATAATTTCTACCAATCAGCACCATAACACCATCATCCAATCAGATCGACTTTTCTTCCTTTAAAAAAAACAGCATTTGATTTTCCTATTTTTTTTCAAACTTTACTTATGTAACATAATGATGAATGCATAGAACTATTGAAAACATTTGTTTTTTTCTCATTAAAGTTTTGTTTTCTGTTGGAGTTTTGGTTGTTCTTATGATAATTTGAAAATTGTTTTCATTTATGTTATAAAAGAATAATTAAAGTTTAAATATTTTACAAAAATTATATAACACTTACTGAAAGTTATAAATACTTTTTTATAATTTTTTGTCTGTGTACTTTTGTATCAATAAATAATAATACAGTATATTGAAATCATTATAAAAAAACATTTTCAAAGCAATAATTATTATAAAAAAACTGCTGTTTTCTAGGAATGTGTGCATGTATGAAAGAAGAAATAAATATTTATATAAATTTATGATTATTTAGATTATGTAACAAGACTTTTCATAATAAAATAAATTTTATTAAAACACAATATTTTGAATATCATTTATTATTTTGAATAAGTATGAGATAAATTTTGGTTTTTATTAAATCAAAATTTAATGAAATTGATGGTATATTTTATCTAAATAGTTTTAAAATAGCTATAAAAAGAAATATATATTCATTATTGTTCAAAATGAACTTGTTCTGTTTGTTTAAATATCAATATGTGAATATTATGTGATAACTGTTCTACAGACCAACTGGATGGGCTTCGTGTAACAAAGAGGAAGCATTCATCTTTGGAGGATTATTTGCAATTGCCTGATGATTATGAGCAAAGAGAATCTCAACCTGGCAAAAAGAGAGTGAGTTTGACTTATTAATCTTGACATTTTGATAATTATTAATTTAAGATATAAATTAAATAAAAAAGTATTACATATAAATTTAAATTTTAAATATAAAGGTTTGTTACTTTAGTTACCGAATGAGATGCTTAAATTTTTTATTCTTAAATTTTTTTAAACTTATAATTTTACCATTTTAAGTTTCGTAATTCCGATCTGAAAGCTAAATAGTATTGGAAGTTACTCAGAGGTAGCATAATTATTTAGTATTTCTTATTATTAATTTACTTAAATTTTATTTAGTATCATACCAGGATAATTCATATGTGAGAACATTGGTTTAATTTGCTATTTTCTGGTCTGTTTGATTCTTGACTTTATTCCTTTTGATGATCTAACATTTTTTTAAAGCCTTAAGGCCAATTGGATTCGTTTTTATGTAATAAGACTACAGATTTTGAAATATTAGTGGAATTATTTAAAATGCATAAATGATTAATTCCAACATATATTGTTTTAATACTATACATCAAAAACAAAATTATATTAAACTAAGATGTGTATCATTCTGTTGATTAATTTTTTCATTAAAATTTAATTTGAATAAGTTTTACACAAAATTATATTAAAAATATCAGCAGATTCAAAACAGGTACTTATCTGTCAAAGCCCCACATAATACATTGCATTGTGTTGCATGTTGTTTTCCAAGGTCATACCATGTCAGAGAAATGTAGGTGAGCTTGAACAGGTGAATGAATGAATTTTAATTACAGTCATTTTGTTGCAGTTCTTTATCAAGTGAATTCCAATTAGAACAGTGTCATGGATGTGTATGCTGCTGTTTTATATTTAAGTGGATCCATAAACAATGCATTCAGCAGAGAAATACAGCAATCTTACTTCATCACCTAATACTTACTGAAAAAAATCGTTTATTAAATAAATGTTTTCAACCTATTATCATAGGCCATCTTCAGGTTTTTCAATAATAAATTGTTACAAAAATGAAATATTCAGTTATCGGAATTTACATTGAAAATTTCAAACTATAAATTTAAACTTGAACAAATAAATGTATAATGAACAAAATACAACTATCAAAAATAAAACTAAATAAAAAATATTAGATAAAACTTCTAAGGAAATATAACATAAAAATTAAAGTAAAATCAAAATTGATTGCAGGGTCATTATGACTTAAGGGTTTTATGCCCTAATTTATTTTCTATTATGTATTTTAATGCTGAGGGCAATGTATTTGCATCGCTGGCTTGGTACCTATATACCAACTTTTGACATTTTCTTTATTCTTAGTAACTAAAATTTTATATGCCTCTTCTTCTGAAGGTGGTTGTGCATCGGCAATATAAACTTTTTAAGGTAAGGAATTTTAAGCCAAGTCCCCAAACTTTTGGATCATACTATGTATAGGGCTTGTGAGAAAAATGTAAGCATAAACTACAAGGATAGTAACACCCTATCTCAAACCTGGATATCACTTTTTGAGATCAAGTAATAATTTCTACCAATCAGCACCATAACACCATCATCCAATCAGATCGACTTTTCTTCCTTTAAAAAAAACAGCATTTGATTTTCCTATTTTTTTCAAACTTTACTTATGTAACATAATGATGAATGCATAGAACTATTGAAAACATTTGTTTTTTTCTCATTAAAGTTTTGTTTTCTGTTGGAGTTTTGGTTGTTCTTATGATAATTTGAAAATTGTTTTCATTTATGTTATAAAAGAATAATTAAAGTTTAAATATTTTACAAAAATTATATAACACTTACTGAAAGTTATAAATACTTTTTTAATATATTTATAA